GCACAGACACCTATGTCTAGTACATATATAGGTATTCCCCATGAGAAATTCTATAAGCACCTATTATTGATTTTGTGAATCGTATACAATAAGTTTTTAAGATGAATTTACCTCTTTCAAAATTGATTAATTAGCTCATTATATACAATTCGAAAAAAGTTTGAATTGATGAAGGAGAATGATTTTCTTGTAATAGACCTTATATAATAGAAATTTAAACTAATCAGATCAATATAGTACACCGTAAACTTACTTTTATTGAGAAGATTTTTTTTCTAAAAAAAGAATAAAATGTGTATTTTAAAATTGTTCACTACAAAACAACACACAACTATAAAATTTATCAGCACATGCATGCAATAATTATTACTCATTTAAGCCTATTGTCTAATAATACTTGTTTACTATTGCACACTTTTTAGGAAATTATAAATAAAAGAGTAATTTTACTATATCACCTTTTAAATATAATAAATATAATATCTTAAAAACTGTAATAGAGAAATGACTATAACCAATGATAAGGATAAATTAGGAATTAAGTATAAAATTATTTATTAATTTTATAAAGTAAACAGTTATCATTGAACATCTTAAAATAGTATAATAAAACAGAGTTATTATTGAGGAGAGAAGTACATTGCATCAGCTTGAATGTCTTTTTGTTGTGGCATAGTGGGATGTGGTAAATTGTGTCATTATGTACATATACTATAGGAATTCTATACTATAGTATACAGTTAATTAAGTAAAATATAGCGCAGAGGCAAATTTTCGTCGTTTCTGCATGCGTCTTCGTTGCCAAGTGTTTTCTTAATCACGTGTCCACTTTGTATTTTAGCAAAGGCATAATTTTTATGTAAATTTTTGTCTCATTGATTTATGAAAACAAATTGATCTTTTGCCTCATTAATTAATATGTACTTCACATGTCACTAGCTCAACAAATATGATTCGGTAAATATTTTTTATCGAAAAATTATATAGTGTAGAAGTGTTAAATATTAATTTTAATTATTACCTTTATAGCAACCGGAGGCTCGAATTTGAGGTAGTTGGTTTTGGAATCAATGCTCAGAACAACAAAAAGAACTTCCTTGCAGGTATATATACTCTCTAGTTAGGGGAATCTTAGTAGCTCAGTTGGTTAGTTATCTGAACTGTCACCTTGTTGATGAGAATTCGATTCCTCACATTGTAATCCCATCAACTTAACATGTTTCAGTTTTCATGTTACTAATTTTCAAATTGTGTATATATTTTACAATATTAAGAGTGTTCCAATTTTTGCTATAACAACTTAGCATGTTTTAGTTTCATGAATGTGACACATTCCATTTCTAGCTAGATATATAATTACTGTTAGTTATTTTCAATATTTTTAGGTGATCTGTTAGTTACGTTGTTATTTTTCAAGCGACTTGATAGTGTAAAATTTACGTCGTTAATTCTTGGTTGATTTGAAATACTAGGTAAACAAAACATATGGAGAAACATAGACAGGAAAGCGAAAGAGTTATCGTTCAACATGGCCGGAAGGGAGGTAGAAAAGATATTCCAGAAGCAAGACGAGTCCTACTTTGTGGCCGGACCGGAGCATCGGCAGCAGTAGAGGGAGAGGTGAAGGAGGAAGAAGGGGACAACAAGAACAATAATATTTGTCTTCAATTTTGGACTTTGTTTGATCTAAATAAGTTTTGGAAGATTTGCACTAAGAATAAAATGATGCATGGTTTCTATGTCGTTAGCTATGTCCTGCTTGATCCTACTCCCTTGACACGGAAAAGGTTCAATAGCATGTCATGAGCACTGAGCTAAGAGGTGATTCATGAGCATGACTAACAAAAGTGAAAAATCACGACCTATATCTCTATACAATTTTTTTTAAATTCATTAAAACGTATGAGCCTCAACAAAATTGAAATTACAAGATCGGTTGGAAATAAACAATTTGTTTCTTGAAAAATTGAAATATAAGAATTTTAGATCAGAGTAAAATTAAACATCTAAGCATGAAATAGGTCTTTCTCAAATATGATTTTGCTCTTGTGCGAACACATATATAAGTATTAATATATCTATTTTGTTAATTAAAAATCAATTAATATATAAAAACAAGTGTTTTGTCAAGTATGCATTTCATTTTGTCTAAATAAGCTCATTCAAAATTTAATTACTATACTTAGTCCATTTTTATAAATGGTTATTTTATTTTGTTAAGTCAAGAAGCTCAATTAATTAATTTTAATAAAAAATTCATCATAATTATACTTCAAATCAATATAAAAAATAATACTAGGTGTTAATTGAGACTAATTTTGAATTGATTTGGCTACGTTTTCAATGGATGGCTACAATTGTAATACTATTAAAAAAATCCATCTCCTAATATAGCCAATTCTTACTCTCAAAATCAACCTTGGTTTGGACCTCTTAGCTCAAAACCCGGCCCAAAACTCCATACCCGACCCAGCCCATGAAATCTTTAATTTCCCTATACCCCTCTCTCTTCCCCATTTTCCTATCCAACACAAAACCTAGTAGCTCATCTCCCCTCAGGATGGTCAATCGGAAATCATTCATCGAAAAATTATATTACATATATAAGAAATTATATGAAATAAATAGGTTAAAAATTATTTTTCAAACATATATATATATATATATATATATATATATAGATATTCCAGAAGCAAGACGAGTCCTACTTTGTGGCCGGACCGGAGCATCGGCAGCAGTAGAGGGAGAGGTGAAGGAGGAAGAAGGGGACAACAAGAACAATAATATTTGTCTTCAATTTTGGACTTTGTTTGATCTAAATAAGTTTTGGAAGATTTGCACTAAGAATAAAATGATGCATGGTTTCTATGTCGTTAGCTATGTCCTGCTTGATCCTACTCCCTTGACACGGAAAAGGTTCAATAGCATGTCATGAGCACTGAGCTAAGAGGTGATTCATGAGCATGACTAACAAAAGTGAAAAATCACGACCTATATCTCTATACAATTTTTTTTAAATTCATTAAAACGTATGAGCCTCAACAAAATTGAAATTACAAGATCGGTTGGAAATAAACAATTTGTTTCTTGAAAAATTGAAATATAAGAATTTTAGATCAGAGTAAAATTAAACATCTAAGCATGAAATAGGTCTTTCTCAAATATGATTTTGCTCTTGTGCGAACACATATATAAGTATTAATATATCTATTTTGTTAATTAAAAATCAATTAATATATAAAAACAAGTGTTTTGTCAAGTATGCATTTCATTTTGTCTAAATAAGCTCATTCAAAATTTAATTACTATACTTAGTCCATTTTTATAAATGGTTATTTTATTTTGTTAAGTCAAGAAGCTCAATTAATTAATTTTAATAAAAAATTCATCATAATTATACTTCAAATCAATATAAAAAATAATACTAGGTGTTAATTGAGACTAATTTTGAATTGATTTGGCTACGTTTTCAATGGATGGCTACAATTGTAATACTATTAAAAAAATCCATCTCCTAATATAGCCAATTCTTACTCTCAAAATCAACCTTGGTTTGGACCTCTTAGCTCAAAACCCGGCCCAAAACTCCATACCCGACCCAGCCCATGAAATCTTTAATTTCCCTATACCCCTCTCTCTTCCCCATTTTCCTATCCAACACAAAACCTAGTAGCTCATCTCCCCTCAGGATGGTCAATCGGAAATCATTCATCGAAAAATTATATTACATATATAAGAAATTATATGAAATAAATAGGTTAAAAATTATTTTTCAAACATATATATATATATATATATATATATATATATATTAAATTTTTATCATCCCTAACGAAATTTTTGACTTTGCTCTCCATCCTTATAACCTTAGCAATAGCAACGTCCTAATTTACAGCTCACCAAGGATACTTCTTCAATGTAATCTTATTAGAGAGTCTTTGGGAAAGTAAGATGCGCACAACCTTATTTCTATTTTATGACGGTGAAAAAATTATTTCCGATAGATCATCGGCTACAACAACCATTTCAAAGTAGTATGTTGAGAAAGAAAAAATAGTTAGCAGTATATTATTAATTAATATTGAACAAATTTTTTTAAAATAAAAGCTTATATAATCAAGTACTGAGTTGAGGCTATATGCTTTTCTAATTTTATCCTGATTAGAATGCAAATTGTTCTAATCCGTCGTTTACTAAGGTTTGACAATACTTTCAAACACGTGAATTTATAGTTGAAATTTGAAAATTACACATATAATTACCTAAAATCAACTTAAGTATTTCTTAAATGTATTTTCGATATAGGTTAACTTCACAAAGACAATATATTTTTAATAGATAAGCTTGTTAGCATTCATGGTTGTGAATGTTCTAGAGGCAAAGCAGAGAAAAAAGAAGAAGTTGAAAGAGAATCTCAATTCACATAAATTCCAACTTAATGAATCAGTTACACATCAATAGTATTTATACAATCTGAATTAAGCTTCAATTAGTAAACCTCTTAGCTGTCACTCTAACTAACTAGCTAACTAACTTCTAACCACTTCTTAACAACTTGAGTTACTACTAACTCATCTGTGGTTACATCAACTTGCCTCTTGGTTTAACACCCCCTCTCGAGTTGATGGTTGAAACAGGTTCTTAAGTCCAATTTTACTAACTAAATATTCATGTTGAGATCTTCCCAAGCCTTTTGTAAGTATGTCTGCCAATTGCTCTTCTGTTGATACATGATCAGTTCTAATCATGCCTTGAGTGATTCTTTCTCTTACAAAGTGAGAATCAATGTCAATATGTTTAGTTCATTCATGGAATATAGGATTTGCTGCTATTTGAATTGCAGCTTTACTATCACACATTAGGTCTATAGGTTGTTTAATATGCACTCCCAATTCTCTGAACAGCCCTATCAGCAAAGTGAGTTCTGCAGTACATGCAGCCATGCTTCTAAACTCAGTTTCAGCTGAACTTCTTGACACAGTCTCCTGTTTCTTGGACTTCTAGGATATTACAGCTCCACCAAACTTCACCAAATACCCAGTAACAGATTTTCTTGTTTCTAGACAAGCATCACAATTTGAATCACAATAGGCAAATAGTTGACTAGTAGCTTGAGATGGCATCAGTAAACCCATTCCTGGTAAGCCCTTGATATATCTTACAACTCTCAGTGCAGCTTCCATATGAGATCTTTTTAGACAATGCATGTATTGGCTAAGGACTTGAACTGCAAAAGTTATGTCCAACCTGGTCATTGTTAGGTACAAAAGTTTCCCTACTAGCCTTTGATAAGCTGTAGGATCTTTCAAAGTTTCATCACTTTGTCCTGTCTTGGTAGATATATTTTTTGTCATATTCCACAGAAGTCAATTTCTGATTAACTTCAAGTGGTGCATTGACTGGCTTTGATCCACTCAAACCAGTTTCTGAAACTAACTCTAATGCATATTTTCTTTGGCATATCATGATTCCCTCTTGTGATCTAGCTAATTTAATCCCCAAGAAGAACTTAAGTTCTCCAATATCTTTCATCTTGAATTTGTGCTTCAAATCTTCCCTTGCTTTATTGATCAAGACCAGATTATTTCCAGTAACTAGTAAGTCATCTACATACACTAGAATTATCACTAACTCTTTTCCTGACTTCTTGGTAAACAGCAAGTAATCATATGACTTTGAGTGAAGCCCATCTGAATAAGAGCATCAGTCAGTTTCTTATTCCACTGTCTTGGAGCTTGTTTAAGTCCATACAATGACTTATGAAGTTTGCAGACCATCTTAGACTCCCCCTGTCTAGCAAACCCTTTAGGAATATGCATATACACCTCTTCCACCAAATCACCATTTAAAAAAGCATTATGGACATCCATCTGAAAAATACACCACTGTTTGGAAGCTGCAAGTGCTATTAAAGACCTAACTATGACCATTTTAGCAACAGGAGAAAACATCTCAGAGTAATCTATATCAGCCTGCTGGCTATAACCCTTAGCTACTAAACGAGCCTTGAACCTTTCCACTTCACCAGAAGATTTATATTTCATCTTGTACACCCACTTACAGCTAATAGGAACCTTACCAGGAAGAAGTTCGACAACAGACCAGGTGTGATTGAGTTCTAAAGCATCTATTTCAAGTTGCATAGCCTGTACCCATGATGGATCTGAGGAAGCTTGCTGGAAAGAGGAAGGTTCATATATAGAGGAGTAGACATGGAGGGCATGTTTATACGATTGGGAAAAATGAGAATAAGAGTCATGTGAGGACATGGGATAGGAACAAGTATGAGAGGAGAGAGTAACAAAATCAGTCATCTAGCTGGGAGGATGTCTGATTCTGGTAGATTTTCTTGGTTCAACTGGTGAGGAGATTTGTGGTAGAGACTGATGAATAGGCTGAGGAGGTGGTGGGCTTGGAGAAGGACTACTAGAAGGAACTTCCAGATTAGATAACTGCAGAACAGGAAACATAGGAGAACCAAGAAACTTGGTATGAAGGAAAGGAAATATGGACTCATGAAACACTATATTTCTACTGACAAAGAAGGATTGGGACTGAAGATCATAGATGGAGTAGCCTTTCTTTGTGGAGGAGTATCCCATGAAGACACCAGGAATTGCTCTAGCAGCAAATTTGTCTGAAATGGATGTGGTGGAGGCATAACTCAAACACCCGTATTCTCTAGACTGATGGAAGACGCGGGCCTGGCATAGACGGAATTCGATCAAAAATTAAAACTTTGGATATTTTTCTTAGAAGGAGATGAACTACGCTCTCGCCCTCCTTCCATCCGCGAAGCTGAGGCGGGAGGAAAAGCGTAATTCCCAGTCTGATGGGACTATTGATCGCTACAAGGCTCGCGTGGTAGCTAAAGGCTACAACCAGCCCAAACACCCTTAAATGGGATATGGAAGGAGGATGTTTGTAGAGAAGTTCAAAAGAGGACTTGAAATGTAACAATTTCGAGGGCACTCTATTAATGATGTACACAATAGTAGTGACACATTCCCCCCAGAACTTCAAGGGTACTCCAGCTTGAAACCTAAGAGACCTGGCTACATTTAGTATAGTTCTGTGTTTTCTTTCTACCACCCCATTTTGTTGTGGGGTGTAGACACAGGAACTCTGATGCAAAATGCCAAGAGTAGTCATAAGAAGTTGAAATTCAATGCTAAAAAATTCACAACCATTATCAGTTCGTAGCACCTTAACAGTAGTAGAAAATAGATTCATTACTCTTGTAAGAAAATCTCGTAGAACAACAATAGCTTCAGACTTGAATTGCATCAGAAACAACCATGTGTATCTAGAGTAATCATCAACAATAGTGAGAAAGTATCTTTTGTTGTTTTGAGAGGGAACTCTATAAGGACCCTATATATCACAATGCAACATATCGAATGAAGACTTAGAACTAGACCTACTAATTTGAAAAGGTAATTTTGTGTGTTTAGCTAAAGGACAGACAGTGCATACATGATCAGCAAGGACTAAATGTTGTAGACTCTCATGCTTCTTGATCACTTCCAGGGAGCATGGCCTAATCTTTTATGCCATAGACTGCTAGAATCAGACCTTTGGTTAATAGAACTTGCACAGCTATAAGAAGAACACTGTTGAGAATGAGTGACAGTGTTGTCATTTAACACATACAACCTCTGACTCTCTCTACCAATCCCCTTCACCATGATATGTATCTTCCTGCTACGCTGAAACTGATGAACTGAGCTTTAGACGATCCTTTTTGCTGATCGTGGCTCTGATACCATGTTAAATTAGGTCTTGAGCCTAACTCACACCCCAAAAGCTAGCTCAAAGGGAGGAGGATTGCCCGAGCCTTATAAGGAGTCTACCCATTTCATTAACCACCGATGTGGGACTTTTGTCACTCTTTAACACCATGTTAAATTAGGTCTTGAGCCTAACTCACACCCCAAAAGCTAGCTCAAAGGGAGGAGGATTGCCCGAGCCTTATAAGGAGTCTAGCTATCTCATTAACCACCGATGTGGAACTTTTGTCATTCTTTAACACCCCACCTCACGCCCAGTGCTTAGCATCTGGTGCGTGGGCAATTTTGATTTTTTGGGGGTCTCAACATCGGGTGAGACGGGCCCTGCTCTGATACCATGTTAGCATTTATGGCTGTGAATGTTCTAGAGGCAAAGCAGAGAAAAAAGAGAAGCTGAAAGAGAATCTCAATTCACATAAATTCCAACTTAATGAATTAGTTACACATCAATAGTATTTATACAATCTGAATTAAGCTTCAATTAGTAAACCTCTTAGCTGTCACTCTAACTAACTAGCTAACTAACTTCTAACCACTTCTTAACAACTTGAGTTACTACTAACTCATCTGTGGTTACATCAACTTGCCTCTTGGTTTAACAAAGCTAAATAGCTGATTAAAGAATTGTTACACTATTCAAAAAATGATTGTTACAACATAGTGAAGTCTCTAGTGATGTATTTGGGTGATTGAATTTATTTATTTTTCATTTATATGCGCGTAATCATGTTGTTTAACAAAGCACTTTATAAGTTCATTAAAAACAACCCCCTAATCAACATAGTTTATGTCACGAAAATTTTACGTGTCCAAGTTTTGATTAGTTGTTATAAACTAGGTAATTTTATATTTGTAGCTAATAATATTCAATAAAGATGTTAACTTATCTCTTTTTAGTGAAAACCGATAAAATTTTGCTATGAAATTTTATAGTTAGTCACTTAGAATTTATGCATCATATATTTAGCTACAAAATATGATTTTAGTCATAAAAAATGAATAACTAGCTAGTGACGACTCCTCGTATATTTAGCTACAAAATATGATTTTCGTCATAAAAATTGAATAATTAATGATGACTTTTATGTTCTAACTAGTACTCCCCTGTTTAAAATAATGATCCAATTTTTTTTTTAGTCTATTTAAAGAAAAAAGATCCGTTTTCTTATTTTGACAACATTTTAATTTTAACTTTTCACGTAATATGATTAAGGCTACAAAATTAAAAGGCATTATGGTACATTTGACATAACTTTAATTTAGAACATAAAATTAAAAAGTTTTCTTTCTTTTTTAAACTCCATTCCAAGTTAAACTAGGTCATTCTTTTTAAAACGGATAGAGTAATTTCATAATTAAATATCATATTTGTTATAGTGGTACACCAATAAAGTTTGTCTGTATATAATGCATGCTTCAATTATTACATTTGCATCAGCTAGAATGTCTTTTTTCTTGGGATGCGGCAAATAGTGTCATTTTGCATATATACTATATTTAGTAAATTTTACTAAACGATACAAATGAAGAGGCAAACCTTCGACGTTTGTGCATGCGTCTTCCTTGCCATGTGTTTTCTTCATCACGTGTACACTTTTTGTATTTTAGCTCAACACATCTTTTATGTAAATATTTTGTATTCAAAAATAAATTTAATATTTTTTGCCTCATTATTAATTGATATGTACTTCACCTGTCACTAGCTCAACAACCATACTACTTAACAAAAATAAAAATATTCCATTAAACATTAATTAGTTTATGGTGTTATTATAATTTAATTAATAGAAACCGTACGTGTACTGTTATTCTTAATACATTCATTCACATTTAAGGTTACTTAACTCCATTTGAGTGAGTCTATATAGCACGATGCGTATGAGTGATATTTGATTTGTGTAGTTAGTTTGGATCCGTACTCGAGCAGTAACATTCTGACTCGTATGCCATTTTAATTGCGGGGCAAGCACAATTTATGTAAATTTAAGTATATATGTGTGTGTGAATTTTTAATTACTTTATTGACTATTAGGCTTAGGCTACATGCTTAAGTACTTTTTAAAAATAGATTAAAAAGATAATAAGCTCACAATATATAATTCAAATTTGTCTATTACTCATTTAAAAAACAAAAATTAGTGATGAATAACTTTCGTTGTTAATATTAATCATATTTAATATAAATTATCAATTATTCTATTTTTAATATATATGATGAGTATTAGCTACAAATTATTAATGATAGATTAATGTTGAATTTCATAATGAATTATTTTTGTCCTGATGGTATATGGTACATCTCTGTTTAGATCTGTCTTTAGTGAAATTAAAAGTTGGATAATTTGGAAGAAGAGAAATTAGAATTAGGCAGCTATTTCAATTCTCCACATTCACCCTGCAATCATCAAAATTGAATCAATACTTATCAACTCGCCGCATATTTCTACAGCACAGCGCCAGCTAATAATCTTATTATAACATGATCAATTCTTTGTCCATTATTAATTCTCCGAACACCCTTATTCACGTGACACGTATACAGTCAGAGGCAGGGAGGTTATTTT